ATTGCCAAAAGTGAAAACTGGTTGACATTGTTAGTCAAGCAGCTGTGAGTTTGGAACACCGCATCATCCCATCAATTCATAAAAATTATGGAAATTGACACATGTCTCCTTTGGTCTAATACTCAATATAATTCTACAATGGTGATTATTCTGACATCTACAAGGCCCTAATAAGGTCAGACATCATTGGCTGTTAAATCATATATGAGTGTACTTAATAGATAACCTAATATGTAAAAGTGCAAGAAACCAATTGCACCTTGGCAATGTTTCAAAGAAAGTCACTGAATTAAGTACACTGATTATATGGATCCTGGACAGTAATGAACCCTAGTTACATCTGGGTATACAGCACCCCATTTTTATAAAAAATCCTTTTATTAGCTCTACTATATAACCCCACCCCTCCCCCATTCCTGCCTTTGAACCTATAATAGCCTTACACATCACATGTCAACCTATTGGGTACTTGGTATTGTATGCTTTACAAGTATAGGTAAAAAGGGACGCTGATCAATCAAAACTAGAAAACAGCAACTCCACTGAGTAGCAAATCCCTCCAAACAAAACAAATTAAGATAAATATTGGCCATCTTGAAAAATTTTCTTGAACAGAGCTCCTTGTCCCTGGGTATCAGCATATAAAATTCTAACAAACTAACAGACAGATGGACAGTACCTCTATATCCCCTTCAAAGTGTTTGGTGGGATAATAAATAGGATTCAGTCATGGTAAATCAAAATGGAAATGTGACATAAACAGAAATATTTAAATCTGATAAAAATTGAACCTAATCAACTCTGTGTAACATCTGTATTTTTAAATGTTTGCCAAATGTCTGCTATTCAGGATCTTTACCTCCAAGATAAACTTTCAAGAATGTATATCAAACATCTATATATATGAAAGCATCACACCATCAGAAACATGGCATCAACATTTATACAGTACATTTACATCCATATACAAACATATTTTTCTCTGTCTGCAATTTAGTTCCGGGTGTCTGCTAAAACGTTCACATGCGATTTAATTAAATGTCTAGGAATGTTACAATGTAAATAATTTAATAACTAAAGGTCTTTGCCTATTATTACGCTCATGTGTCAGACAGCGTGGTTCCTGGGGAATTACACTCTAGGGAGGATACAATGAACCCGCTAAGCTGTGGAAGATCCCTGTAATATGTACTACATGTATATGTGGAATCGTTTATTGCATTATAGAAGATGTTATTTCTAAAAACAATACAATACAAGTATACAGTAATTTAGGGGTGGTGAGGGGGGCACTTGGTTTGGGTAACAGCTTATAGATCACATTGTGTGAGGAGAGAAATATGACTGAATCAAACTGCTGACAACATCACCTCATGAAATCTTGATGTGGTAACATAATTTGCCCAACCAAACAACAGACAGATAAACATATACATGTATGTTTTAAAAATAAATATAAAAATACTTATCAACCTAGATGATCACCCTGGAATATTTCCACATGAAAATAAACATTTGGAAATCTTTAGAAGCACTAGACATAACAATTTTATACTGTTTCTGAACAAATGTCAAATCCAGTCGGATATCTGTCTAGAACAAAATAGACTATAGAAGCAACAATAAAAATTTTGGTATTAATTTAAGAGGTGTCTGACATCCAGTACATGTATTTCGCGAAACAGTCTGTGTTCCGTAATATTAACAGGTTTATTGAATATTTTGATATCAGACAGAGACATAACTCCTATTGTCTTGTCTGCCAGCTTTTAGTACAAGTTATTCTCAGGAAAAATCCATAACAAAACAAAAGAAGATATCACATGATAAAAAAGTGCACTGACGAGGTTAACTGCACCCTGAAGTTTAGAGGCTAGTGGTTATCAATTACATGTCGTATAATAGATATATGAACTGTATCATATGGTCATTTTTCACATGAAACCATATAAGGCCCAGACACCCTCCTAGAGGGGGCCCTGTGTTCTTAGACAGACAGACAGACACACAAAGACACACCACAGCCGTTTGTACGAACAGTGGATCCCTCAGTTGAAAACCCTGATTGAAACAAACAACCAAATTAGTCTTAGCTGTAATGGTGATCCAACCTGAAGACTGCATTATATAGGTATATAAGTATGAAAATACCCATAAAAGGTCATATCATAAAGACTATATCATAAAGGTTTTTAAGATATAATCAGTATTTAAACTCTAAAATCACTTGAGACAATCAGAGGATAGAATGTTACTGTTAAGTGATAGGATACAGAGTAACTGAGATCATACTGCACCTATATCTTTGCTAGATGTGAGAAAATTAATTTTACCACTCAGAGAGTAAGCTGCCCCAGCAAAGCTTATGTAAATTTCAACCTTTAGCGCTGCTTATTAATATTGTTAGGAAAAGTGAAAAGACTATGGGTGCATTTTTATATGACCGCGTTACGGTTGAATTTGATACGATTGCGTAATAATTAATCCTTTTTCACTGCGAGCATAAAAAACAGATTTACTAACACTGCGGTTTAAATTACATTGTAACATTATGGTCACTCACATGTATCGAAAAACAGGCTAATTTTATTCGTGAGCAAAGGTCTATTTTGAAAATTCTAAAGGAGGAATGAAGGTATAACAAAATGTAGCACTCTTAGTAAGACAATAGACATAATGTTAATATCACCATTTCATTGTTGCCATGGTATCACAAAACAACAAATAAACAAGATTATCAAAATGTTATTCCAGGGAATAGTAATAGTAAAATAGTACAGATTTAATGTGTCTGTCTGCCCACATTATTGGATATTTCATGGATATTAGCAGGTTTACAGCATATTAATTGTCTCATCTCAGAACAATGAACAAAGCAACAAGTTCAAGGTCACCTTAACCTGGAAGCATATCAAGGCATTGTACATAATTTAAATCATTGTTTTCCAAAAAAGACAATAACATTTTGGCAAAAAAATAAACAATGACTTCAATATGCTTGCTAAAATAAATATTTACTCTTGAACAAAACTGGTTTCAACCCAGACCCTCAATCACGTAAAAATAAATTTTCTGCTTCAGTGAGCAATTAAGACTTTGATACGACCCCTCTCAACTCACAAGTGTTCAACATGGATGAGAATGACAGGATTGATAACTCTATATAGTTCAAGTGGCTCAAACGAGGCTATTCTATTGACAGAAAACTATTTTACTGTAAGCAACTAGAAAACAGCAACTAGTCATTTTAATACATGATACAAATATCCAGAAATTAAAAGAGTAGTACTGTCTCCTTCTAACAAAATCTACACCCATGATGTGAGAAAATCCATTAACTATAATTTGAGTTAATATTTTTACCAAAAATGGTGGCAATTTTAAAATTCAGTGGCTACAGTGAAAAATTATTTTTGAACAGGACCCTTTAGTTCCTAAGACATTAGCATATTATTTGAACCAAATCCTTCACCTGGTATTTGCGTTTTCATTTTGAAATTCAGCGGCCATCTTGAAAATTTCTTCTGGAGCAGAACTCCAATAGCACTAGGTATCAGCATATATAAAATTTGAACCAAATCCATCAACTGGTATTTGAGTAATCATCCAGATACATTTTTACGAAAAATGCTGGCCATTTTGAACTGAGCAACAATATTTAAAAATTCCTACTCAAGCATTTACTCATAAAGCTTGAACAAAATCTGTCAACTAGTATTCGAGTTATTGTCTGGACGTACAAATGAACAAACGAAAGAACAAATGAACAGCCATCTCTATATCCCAACAAACTTAGTAGGTGTCACGACCACGAATATGTAAAAATGTTATTATGTTTTAATGAAATAAATAAAAAAAATAATGAATACTTTTGACACTTCTGCTAAAATCCCATCAAACCCCAATAAGAAATGTCTACTGACACTAGATCAAGAAAACACAGTTGATAAAAAAATTCCATTGAGCTTACAGTTAATCTAAAGCTGATTACACGAAAATCAAATTTAATCTGTCTAGACGGGTTTATGAACCTCAAGTTCAGAAAATAGGATTAATTTTTATACCTTTTGTATATCAATATAAATAAATCCTCTTGAAAAATTTGTATTACCATAGTAATCCTACTTGACAAACAAGGAGCATTTGATAGGTTTGTTTGTTATGTAATAAACTTGATCTTACTTCACCTTTTTAAAATATAATATACTGCATATAATAGACTTGGACCAGGGACACATACTATACTGATCCACGTCTAATTTTAATGAAAATACTACAGAGAAAGACAATGAACAAACTACATGTAAATGCTTGTTTTCTGTTGACTAGGTAACATGTTAATGACGTCACAAATTATAATCAACAGTGATGTGTGACGTTTAGATTTGTTGTTTGTTTAGTCGATAGGGCAATATGTGGCTGATGTCATAGTTTATGTGATATTACCCTTATATTACGATTTACCCATGGTATATGTTGTGTTAATTGGTATCTTCTTGCTATCTGTGTGATTAAAAAATCATTTCAAGTACCATTATAACTCAATCGAGAACCTGCAAATAAGAAAGTAAATAAAAAAAAAAAGATACTGCAAATATTATTAACCTTATCCATGCTGCCTTTTTTCAACCAATTCATCCCACATAATGCCTTGGTCACATTTGCTCCGATTTTCACTTCGACGCCCAGCCAATTGAGTATTTTGTTCCAAACTGAATACAATTTTGAACAAAACACTCAATTGGCCAGTTTCCGGCTGACGAATGGGAGCAAATTTTTACCCAAGCATTACTGGCTTATTTCTTATGAGTGCCCACAGATTTACTGGCGCCAAAAAGTTGATTTTTAAAATTTTAAATCTTGGAGTGGGTTCGCCAGCAGAGAGGCAATATTTGCCTGGGTGGATATGGTAGCTGGCAGCACGGTTAAGGTTAAATCCCAGGTCAATTCTTGGAGTAACTCCTTTGCCTGAAACAACACCAACTTGAAAATTCACTTACCTCCGAATTTAAAGGCTGGAGGTCATCCTGGTGGCATTGATGTCGGCCATTTTCAAGATGGTGGTGGTTATGGTGGTTGCTATGCCACTGTGGAGATCCTGACCAATAACAATGCTTAAACAAACAAAGCATCACTGCTACGGCAACCACCACTGCTGTTACTATCACAATTATTTGTAGAAAACTAACTGAACCTGCAAGTAAAGAATAATAACAAAACTTAAATACTTTATCAGAATTTAGTTTTCATTTATTTATTTATTTTATTCATTTATCATATTGCAAGGCTATTGATTCAAAGATAATTTTTCTGTTGTAAAAACACCCGATCCATTGTTTTATAAAAATTAAGCAGGGATATAAATTGGCTAACAAGTTATTCAGATACATAAAAATAAAAACAGAATAAAATTCTTTGCTTAGAACACTCATGCCCTGTTTGGACTTACACTCGCAAGGCTTCAACTACGAGTCAAGCTGTTGAGTTTTGGGTTTAACAGACCCTATGTAGAGCAAAGGAAAAGGTAGACACGTATGATACAAGAAAACATATGACTGAGGAAACAAAATTTCTTGTTAAGAACGGGTTTAAACTAGCTATAGACTGACTTGAACTGCTTTGAAGCAGCCAAAGCAGACAATCCTCATGTCATATATATACATGTAGCATGTTATGCTCGACAGGTAGATAGAAAAATTAATTTCCTTCATCTAGACATATTCATTCTCACACAGTGACACACTGAACACAAACCTATCCTTTTCGATACATCTTGAATTTCTAACTTCACGGATGCTCCTTTTCAAATAATTACACCTTATTTTAGCAAGATCAGTTTGACCTACTAAAAAAAGGTAGTCTCAAATAAAGGCTAGTCTGGAGAGATACTAGGTGACTGTGTCTCAATAAAAGGTTCAATACATCATATCTATCTAAAACTGTTAGTTAATGCTAAGTAATATACTAGGCTAGACACATTGATTCTTGGAATACTGTTACCCATGGTTAAAATCTAACCACAATTTTCCTCGATTTAAAACCATTTCTTTGTAATATCTTTGGAAATGTCTGATTTTCTGGCGGTTTGAGAGAATATAGCTTATGAAATTTAATTGGCAGTATTTTATCTATATTAAATTCCAGCCTCTTACCTGTATTTTGCATGGGGTATGTGGTCAGTTTGTCATTTTACTAAGGACCGCAATCAGATAGATCACAGTGCTTTATGGGTAATATGTTTTTCTCGAAGTTAATAGATTTATTTGATAAAGAACAAAGCAAGCATCAGGTGTATCTTGTGTAATAAATATAGGCTAAATCTCCACTCCCTGAACATTCCATCCATCCCTGAAGATTGCTTTACCCTTTTTGAAAAATGGCAACAAGTAGAAATAAATGTATAAATACACAAAACCAAAGAGTTATGGAAAAATCAACGACAAATCTGTGGAGAACCCATATATGAGAAGCACATTAGCCAAGGATAAATTAGAAAGATGACAAAGTCGTTTCTGGTTTCTCATAATGTTGCTCATGACTTTGCCATCATCCCTTTTACTCGCGATTTGTTCCATGTCTATGGTAACTGAAGAGTTTCCTTTAGCGTCAAGGAATATCGTTTGGTAAGATGGAACCTCCAAGTAAGATATATCATTTGGTATCTTGTTCAGCCTCCAAGAAATCAAAATTATGAACTCAAGTAAAACGAACAAGGCATTAACATGACACCATGGAACAAATGTACATACACATACACAAATGTTAAATGACTATAACACTGACTTGGTGATGACATAACAATACTCTAATCCCCATCATAACATATACCAATGAAGCACAATGGGACATGCATAGACTTAACATTGCATGCCAAATGCATGGATCCATGGGAAATACAGATGATAGTGGATGATGGCGAAGTTAAAGCAGATATGAAATGGTATTTTTAACCTAAAGGAATCAATATAATTTTTTGATAAATGTATTTGGACATGTTTTCTCATCAGTAGTGCGAAAACTATTTCACTCTAACGATTGTTATAGCTACTTAATAAGCAATATTCGAATTGGTTGTGACGTTATTGGCCCCCACGTGATCTCTCACTGGTCCCCACGTGGCCCATAACGTCAAAATGTTTTGTTTTGGTTTACACTACAATCCTATGGTTGCCGTGACGTTGTGATTACTAAGGTACCAATAAACCAAAGCTATATTTCGTATATGACGTTACTTATCACGTGGGGGCCAATTTGATTGATCAGTTAGTTTTATTTCGTTATTTATGACCGTTAGCAGTTATCTAACATTTATTTTATAATGGTTATCGCAAGAACTCTACGGTGGGCTTACAATGGAGAAAACCGCATTTTTGTAGCTGCAAGTTGAGAAAAGCTATTTCAGTTGTCCTTTAATGATATAATAAAAGGATTGAGAACCCAGATGAATGTGATCACTATCAAAGAACAAGATGTAGATGAGGGAAACCAACCAGACAACTAACACCTGTGACTAGATAGAGGCCAAAAATCCTCCTAAGCAGGTATCCAGAATCCGTACCTCCTTCTCTCCCCTGCTATAACCAATTTGGAAGCGCTCGATTAAACTGAATCACAGGATCTAAGTATGCGCAATGACTTATACATGGTTTCTGTCGCAGTGTTGCAACAGCCAATCAGATTGTGAGTTCTTTATCGGGGAAGTGCTAACTGCTTATCGCAGGGGGTAAAAAGAAAGAATATATTCTGGATTTTGAAGCCCTGTGATCAGAGGATGGAGGCCAGATTATACAGATAATTATATAATGATCCCTAAAGGGTCAAACCGCCACAACACCAAGGTTAAAATATTTTGTGGCACAATTTATTTAACCTTATCATCCTAATACAATATAAGAGTCCTCTGAAGTGAGACATCTTCATGAAACAAGTCTGGTCAACTCGACTGCTCTCTCAAATTTGAAAAGACAGGAAAGAGAGTATTGACAATTCACAATGACCCCAATGAATTCATGACAACATTACCATCAACAATAGCAGTTGTCAGGACAACATTGCAATCTACAACAGCAGTTGGCATGACAACATTACCATCTACAACGGTTGTCATGAAAACATACCAACCTACAACAACAGTGTCCAACGGTAACAGTCTCTGCAATCGGAGTGCTAGTGAATCATAAAAGATCTTTATAAACCAGCCAGAAGTTTGAGTCAAAAACCTGACAAAAAAGTTATTCAATAGAACACTTCTACAGTCCAGACATCTTGTATTTGACAAAGGGAAGAAAGAGGCCTTATAAAAGAAAACTGCATTCTGATTTATCAAAGTCGTATATGTAATGTTAGGTCTAAACCAACTACTCAAGAGGTAATACAGACTGTGGATCAGACTACTGGAGTTAAGAGGAATCCAACATATCCTGCTGATTACATTTATCGCTGAAAACCTCATAAAGGTAAAACAATGCCGTCATGCACAAAGCGCATGCAAAAACAATCTATTTGTAATAGAAATAATAAAAAAGTGTGAATTATTATTATTCCATAAGCTAATAACATTAACCTCCAACTAGTGCTCTAACAGGTTCATATGACATTGATGGCAATCATTGCTCATCTCTCCATTTGTCATGCATCTGGGGCTCTGGTTGGTCCCTGGACATTATTTCATCCTTCGCAAAAAAGTACTTTGTCTTTACTCTTTCAATAAGCAATATACTTTGAGCTCGCCAATTACCAAATCTGATTGGTTACCAGGTTTCGAATCATTGCAATGTAAAAAAATACCTATATTCATTGGTGTCATTTACTTTCATACCTTCAACTCTGATAAAATCCAATGAACGTTACTTGAAAAGTGAAAGGTAATTCAAATCCAAGTACACCTAAAATATCAAAACTTGAATTCCATTTGAGATCATAAGAAGGTCAAATACAAGGCATTAAAATGCAAAATATCACCACCTGCCATTTGTTACAGACACCAACTACCAAACATCGAACACCAACCATCAAACATCATGAAAAAAGCTGGAGACTATATTTAACAATATGCCACCACTTCTGATGTAACAGTAACAAGTTATACAGGGTGTAATGTGACAGTGTTTATGAGGATAATACCGGTATGTTGTTTTTTATCAAACAGTTGCTTCTATTATACCAGCATTGGTGCAGTAATATAAGTACAGCAAGCACATTCACAATGTCAGTCATAGCACAATACATATAAATTGCATCCATGCATTATGCCTGTTTCACAACAGCTGTTTGGACGTGAACCCATACAGCTTAATGTCACAATGACACAATAATAACAATAGTCACGTTTGAATTAAAAGAACTCACAGGCTTACATATTCTCTTTTTAATGAGATGTTCAATTATTAAGTTAATGAATTGACCCTTTTTAAAATAACGAGACATTCACATGCAAAATGTCACAACCTACCATTTGTTACATAAGCAAAATGCTGAACTCTGAACGACAACTGCCGTCACAAAAAATGTTATGGTGGTGACATAATAAAATTCAATACTTTAGCATGTTGTCCTTTCAAAAATGTTCAATATATCGTATTCGTTCTAATAAACACTCCAAATTCAAATATTTTTTCTTGACTTTTGTTACTCAAGTTGCCAGAGTCTCATGGAAAAGTAGGATGTGTGTTTATTTAAGCATATGTGTCTATTAGAGAGAATACGGTAAAACTATTTTAGCTCAATGTATGACAATCAGAATAGTGAATTCTCAATTTTCATTATTTCTGTTAAAAAAACTAAATGTGTGCTCATCAACTATGCGATGATGTCAGAGGAAATGATCATGTATAAAAAGTCATCCATATTTCGACGACTAAATCTGATTGGCTCGATGTGTTCAGAGGTTCATCGCAAAAAGAGTGAAGACGAAGCTCTCTTTTAAGAAGCAAAGAGAAACGAAGGCAAATGGGAGGTTATAGGTTAATGCTCTGATTAATGATTAAAATATGATTCTTAGAAGTACTAACAGCTCTGGGGGATTTAATGGATTAATAAACTGAAAGACAAACAGAGGGTCAGATAAAAAATGATGGCTTCACTATATCCAACTAAAACTTCATTCAATATGACAAGAAAATCAACATTTATGGTTCCTTTACCCAGACCAAATCCAGCATCGTAAAAAAATTGCTTTTTTTTGTTTGTAAATAA